TATCAAAAGTAAGTGAGGAGTCAAAACGTATTACTTTTCTGGAATTGGAACACATACACAATATTTACCTCAGCCAAGCTCATACCTCAATGACGTTAGACACAAGGTAAGGCAGGGTCTTGTTCACTTTGATCTTCTCAGTGTTTTCTTTAATTTTATCTTTCATGGCCTGAAGTTCATGGGTAACCCTCAAGACTTCGCTCTTCATGATCTGAATGCACATGCATGCGCGCACACAGACACAAACACACACACAGCATTTATCCGCAGAAACCTTTAAAGCACAATCACTTTACAGAAGAGTGGTATAATAAGCACAGACTTTAAATCTAGTGTATTGTTAGTAGTAACTATAAGCAAATATTAAAATATTAGATAAATCTTTTCCACTCCAGCTATTTTACTTTCTACGTTAAAAAAGTTTAAGAAAAGTGAAAGTTAACTGACAACTAGATTACCAATAAAGCATTTGTCTCATCAGTCAACTACTGATGTAATTCTCTCACACTAACAAAGATGTCCATTATCAAGTTTTTGGCAAATGTGGCTCTGCTATAATGCCTCCCCACACACCAACATTACAGGTTCGCAGTTTCAGACCAGCAATTCTGTGGTGCCGTGCCAGAGCTGGTTTTTCAGGCATAGCATCAGTTAATCGGAAGTGGAAAAGCGTGGAACCAGTTCCAAATAAGGCCCCGGCTAAGCATTGGCACCAGCCCCACATTGATGGAAAAGGGCTACCTAAGAGTATGTCAAAATAATAAGGCTGATCTATTATAATAATAATAATAATAATAATAATAATAATAATAATTTATAATAATAAAAAATACCAAGCATAATAAAATCGAGCGAAAGCCTCAGTTATGTGGGAACACTTCACATTTAAAGTGAATGAAAATGCAGTTGTCACAGAACTTAAAAATTACATTGTTATTAATGCAGCAAGATTAAAAGATGACACAACGGGCTTAACCCTATAATACATTAGCCAAAGATGACAAATTATGGTCCATTTAGCTTCTTGGAGTAGCCCAGCCTTTCTTTATCATCACTTTGACTAAATTCGGCTAAATTCACTTCTTATGAGTCCTGTATCGTAACATAATCAGCTAAAATGAAGGCTAGCCCTGTTGCTTAGTCGCATCAGCTTACATAACAGTACGTAACCACATTTTACTCATTAATAACCATATACAATAAAATATGACAGGTTTGTAAAATTCAGTGAATGTCCTGTGTGTGAATGATACTGGAAAAAGTTCACATTGGGATATCTGAAATTTTTGCATTAAGTATTTCAGAAAATAAAACAAAAAAATGTTTGGAAATTTACTCAAACTATAGCCAAGCACAACTTTTTCTCTACCAATATAGTCTGTCAAATAAGTTGATGGTGGTGTTGCAAGTTGAGCCAGCAGACACAAAGCCGTCAAATCATTTGCTTTTGCTCAATAACGTCTCTATGGAATACAAAATATTTTCATCCAGCAGAAGATGAATGTCTTTCGGTCACCAGTTGTTCACTTTTCTCCTCCCCACTCATTACTGTTAAATTTATCACAGATGTGCCACAATGTCGATGTATCCTCCTGAGACCCGACCTATTCATTTATGTCCATTGTAATAGACATCGAATTTTTGCATTTATTAGTTCACTAATGTTGGGAAACGTATTTATTCTTGTTGTGCACTAAAGAGGACATGCTGTGAAATTAAAATAAGAATAAATTTGAAAAAATCTAAATTGTAAGATGTCTTANTTGTTGTGCACTAAAGAGGACATGCTGTGAAATTAAAATAAGAATAAATTTGAAAAAATCTAAATTGTAAGATGTCTTATTTCCTCCAAAGACAAATAAACTAAAACTGAAGGACACTTTTTTCCTTGGGTCTCAGGAGGATATGCGCGTCCGACAGCAAAGACAAAAATGATAATTACTGGCTGGAGAGTGCATGCAGAGTTCTTCCAACATGACAACTGCATGTGTGTAACATGCAATGTCGATATTAACATTGCACCAATGGTCCCAAATTGACATTATGTGATTGAGTGACTGTGCACCTGCGATGGACTGAAGTTCCCATCCAGGGTTGGTCCCTGCCTCACACCAACTGCTATACTCTGTGTGTGTGTGTGTGTGTGTGTGTGTGTGTGTGTGTGTGTGTGTGTGTGTGTGAGAAAATTACTCAAATAATCGCCATATTAATCAGTATAACATCTGTGACAAAGATAGTTGTCTTCACTTATCAGCAGCTATTCAAATAACGTTCATGCTGAATGATAATATCAACAAGAAACTTCCGCCATTTAAAACCAACCTTAATTTCACTGTCCAAGAGGCGTGTCCGCTGAATGATCTCTTCAGTGGACATTTTGAGAACTTCCTCACCAATTCCATCCTGCAACAATGAATTTAAAAAAAAAGACAAAGGCTATCAATTACAGTATTAAACTGTAAGAATGCTGTGATTTAACTAATCAGCCATTTTTAAATGAGAGTTTGGCTTAAGTTCTTAGTTATACAAATAAATCAATACTGCTGTTCATTGTTAAATAGTAAATACATTTAAGCCAACAAAACATTTTGGGGGGAAAATGTATGCATCTCAGTGAATCATCAGTGAATTACACGTTTGTATTTTGATCATGGTGGTTCAGCAGTGATTTAAGCAAAGATGCTTAAATTAGTAATACCTATTTAGTAGGTATTACTAATTTAGTAGGAATTAGTAATAATTATCTCTTCACATAAGACACCCTGTTAGGTTCCATGACATCGTGATTAATTGACTTTTTTTTTTTTAAAGGAAGGTGCACTGATAATCTTTTTAATCACTATAAATATAATTCTATAGCTTCTCCTTACGATTAAAAACTGTTTATATTGTATTAACCAGCATTCAGTAATAAGTTTAATACTGTCAATTTCAAAACAAAACTTATTGGCTGCTGCACATGCAGTAGTATTAAAACGGAGCACAGTGAAACTATACATGCTAAGTCACTGTAGTCAGTAAATCATCAATTACATCAAGATTTGTCCAAGAAACTCCGGCGAAAGTCGTTTTTACCATTCCAAATCAAAGACAGCTAATAATCTAACAAAGCTCGTCACCAGGATAACATTAAGGAACTGACCAGCCCGTTAACAGGCTAACGCTGCTTTGCTAACTTATGCTACTACCATCGTTGTAACGGGCAAAGTACGGCGTACAGTGTGCGATTTCCTTGCAAAATGACGACTATGCAACGCGCTATTTATATTTATGTATTTCTCAGCACCAGCACCAATGCTTGTTTCGTACAACATAACAGCAAAGCTAAACATTGCTATTTGTCTGTGTCATTCTCCAAGGAAACAGGCCGGTTCCTTGGATAGCTGGATGTGCCTTTATCCGAAAGCTTATTATTGTTTCATGAAAAATTTTGTAGTTTGTAATTTAAACACATACACGTCAAACTACAATACATTTACCAATAGGACAGCAGAAATACAATAAAACGTATAAAACGGATTTAATAAGCAAACAAACCTCAACCTCATCCCAAACTGATCTGTCATTCAGAGACGCCATTTTGGAATTACTACTTTTGAGTATATTCGCGGACGAATTTGATACCCAGCATTCGTCAAATAATATATAATTGTTTACCTTCAGAAATTTTAAAAATTAGTTTTTATGTATGAGAAATTATATGTTATATTTTTATCATAACATAACTAAGTAAATTGTTTGAAGTTAAATTATTATAATTATTTTTAAAAAAAAAACCGCAATCACAGCGAAAGTGCTGAAATTAACGTAGAAAAAGAGCATCCCCGTTCGTGGAAACTGGTGATCACGTGTTTCTGGGTTATGGTATAATGCAATCCTGCTCCTGGAGAGCTGCCACCCTGCAGAGCTTAGGTGCAGCCCTAATTTAACACACCTGATACAGATAATCAGGCCCTTCATTTATATCTCAGTATGAGAACCAGCTTAACGTCAACATAGCTGACTCTAATACTGAGACATAATTGAAGGGCCTGATTATCTGTATCAGGTGTGTTAAATTAGGGCTGTACCTAAGCTCTGGAGGGTGGTACCTCTCCAGGAGCAGGACTGGGCACCCCTGGTATAGTGAATATGTTCCAAATACATTTAACTTACATTCTGGATCATGTCTTGAGCTGTTTTAGCACCCTCTACGGTCATGTGGCAGCTAATGAGAACCGGTTCCATGGTTGATGAGAGTTGGTTATGATGTCCAATTTCTTCACAGCTGATATTTGTGGACCTTCTAAATAATGGCTATCTTTGTTGTGTCCTGAGGTCCTCAGTAATAGTGGCTCTCAGAAATATAACACTGCTGACCTGGTCCACAGCATCCACACTGAATTAATTTTAAGTCAATTTTTTAATTTGTTCGGAGTTTACTCAACCATGAAATTCAAAAGAACCTAAAAGTCTGTTTATAAATGTGATGCACCAAGACATTTTTTACACAGCAGGAATGACTTCACAACTATTACTGCAGTCATTGGGTGACATGCAGCATTTTTTCTCCATCTCTTGTATATTCACCTGTTTTTCACAACTGCTCCTCCAGTACAGGATAATACTGACACAGAGCCAGTATCAGAAAATATGGCCATATTTCTGTGTTGCATGTTCAGCATGTTGTCAAATATTATATGTAGTGTCAATATTTAAATGTTATAGAACTAATTTGACATGAAGTAGGTAAAACAGATATTTCACCTTTGGAAGGGCAAGACAAAGAAAACTTGCCAAGTCTAATCTAACGAGTTTAACCCATATATATATATTATATATTTCTGATAAAGACTTTTTCTTTATCACCACCCAGTCAGTGATCAAATTCATAATTAATCCACATGCTACTGTGTCCTAAGGACTGTCACTAAATTTAAACAGTCTTAAGATTAGCATTACGCAGGGCTAACATATGTCAAGATAATGTGATGTAACACTCCATAAAAGTGGATTCTCCACATTATTTACTAAAATTTTATTTCCTTCAATTGTTTCAATAAAAAGTCAAAACATATGATAACATATAAATCGAATAATCTTCCTCCAACAACCATTGTACATCCTCAGTTAACACACATCTTCAACATTGAAAGACAGAGTGAATGCTGCTCATGTTGTATCCATCTGATTAGGAGTGGGTAAGGCACGATTGGGGTCTAAGCTCCTGGAATCCATCAAACTGTCTGAGGTGGAAGTGACTCTCCGAGTGCCTGACCATCATACGCAATGCCACAAACCCTGTGACAGACTACAAGGAAAAGAAACAGAGATGACATACAGACTTCAATTATCCATCATTAAAATATCGGGAAAACTACCACCTTCTGAAATTCAACTTTTCTTTATACAGAGTCGTTTCAGTACACAGTGATTTTAATGAACATCCGAATACTTTCCTTAAATTATAATTGGCAACTAAATCTGAGATGGACAGGTACATGGGCATTCTTACTTCTATTAGTAGGAAGAGGGCCAGCACAATGTGAACTCCTCTCTCTAGAGGCTGAATAAGGATGGCTTCATTGAAAAGCTGGAACAAGGTCAGTGGGAACTGAAGAAGAAGAGTTAGGAGCCAGAATCCAGCTAGTTCTGGGACCTGCCACAAGTGGGAGACAAACAATCCATTTTTCAATAACATTGTTTCAGTTTATTTTCACCTGATTATATACATAATGAGAATCTTTCTGATCATACAATCCTAGCTTGAACTTTACCCCATTATAATGTGATCTTTGGTTAAAAAACAAACATTCTTTAATGCAATTATTTGTGACCCATGTTTATAATAATCCCAGCATTTTCAGCAGTGGAGGATGACAGTGTACCTTCTCCTGCAGATTCCCAGCATAGCCCAGATAAAGCCTGATAGCCTCTATAAGTGTCATCAGAATGAGGACAGTAATGAGTATGAACTTGTAATAATCCGGTAGAGCTGGATACTGAAAAAGAACAGGCAAGAACACCAGGAGGCGAGGCAAGTCAAGGTAACAGACATGCAAACTTAAATGAGAAATGACAAATACATAGAGAGATCATTTTGTCTATAATCTTTTTATTTATTTATACCCCCAAACCAGTTGATTAAATCAGGCTGATTTGAATACCTTGAGGTGTAAAACGACAACTTCACTGACCCACCACAGAGGAAAGTAGTAGGCGTTGAAGTAGAGAGACATCTGAAGCGGGAGACAGGATATAACGTCATCGTCTGAAAAAGGAAAGAAGCGGATCGTGCGTCTATCCATCAATCTTACAGGCACACCTTGTGGCAACACTCTCAACACAAGTCACATAATAATATAATAATGTACTACCAGCATTTATAGTTTTATTGGTCCATTCTACAACTGCATAAAGTTGTTTATGATATTCTAAATAACTGAACCCTGATATTGCATTATCTTAAGTTAGTCAGCATTATGTAAACTACCCTGACAAAAATAAAGATTGTAGTTACAAGTGGCGCAAGGACATGTAACCTGCAAAGACTGAAAAAGTGAAACACGTATTTTCTGACGTGATTTGAATTCTATGCATGTAGGTAAATAAACAGTTATAATAAGGCGTTTCTCTTCGTGTTACGCCGGGCGGCACCAAAGTTTGCATGCTTTGCACGTATCGCCGTGGGGTTTCCTCGTGGGAACTCTCCCTTCTGGCTTCTCCTGTCCCCTCAGTCCAAAGCATAAGATTAACTGGAGTTACCGTACGTGTGAATGATGCGTGAGCCCAGTGATGGGCTGGCGCCCAGTTCTGGGTTATTCCCTGCCATTCGCGCGTAGCTTCCGCGACCCTACATAGAACAAGCAGGTATAGAAAATGGATGGATGAATGGATGTCGTATTAGTTAAATCTTTACTTACTGTGCCCTAATGACTTAAAACGATCTTCTGTACGACTTTGAGTTATGAACACAGTCCGAGAAAAGTCTCCCAAACGCTTCCTGATGGGCTCTGGGAGCTCCATATTTATTCAAAGCGACTGAGTGCTGGAAAAAGGCGCCATTTTGGCTCAGCCGTGCGGAATGTTATTACACTAACTGAACACACGGGGAGTCAAAATGTTAAGTGCATAAGAAATTTACTAACGAGAGGAGGCCATTCGGCCCATAAAGCTCGTTTGGGGAGAACTTAACTAATAGCTCAGAGTTGTGAAAGTCTTATCTAGCTCTGATTTAAAGGAACCTAGGGTTTAGCTTGCACTACACGAACAGGGAGACTATTCCATACTCTAACTACACACTGTGTAAAGAAGTGCTTCTTCAAATTCATTTTTAAATGTTCTCCCGCTAATTTTCGTCTTTCTTTGCGTGTGGTTTTCTGTAATTTAAAAAATAGCCTTTGTTGATAGTCATTCCATTTTTATTATCCAGCATTACATGAACTTGTCACCATTCAAAACCAATTAAATATTCCTTTATCTGTCACACACAAGCATTAATTTCTAAGGGAAAAAACCTAATACTAATCATGACACCCTTGACCATACCCAGCCCTAACCTTAACCACAAGTAACCAAACAAAATACAAGGCATATTTACTTTTTGATTGCATTCACAGGTTTTTATAAAATTGAGGTTATCCGAATACCTGAAAAATATCCCCAAAAGTAAAGAAGTTTCAGGCTTCACCAAACTTAGGAGACATTTTGGGCCCCAAATGTGATCTATGCAAATCCAGCCACCCACACACACACACAGCATGTGTATGTGGCAGGGGAAGAGGACAAAGGTGTTGACGTACTTCAGGAGAGCAGCATCTGTGTTCATTTACAGTATAATTACACCAGTGCTGGAAAGAGTATTCAATTTTCATACTTAAGTACAAGTACAGATACCACACCAACGTGTGAGTCAAGTAAACGTTCTCCAGTGAAATATTATTCAAGAAAAAGTTCTTAGTTTTAAAAGTACTTAAGTATCACATATAAAAACTACACATTCAGACCTATTAATCTTTTAAAAAAAAAAACCTAGCCTTTTAAATTCACTCAAGACCGGTTTGAATACAGCATGGTAAGTTACAGTGCATCACAATAAGGAAAAGTGAGTCACAAGATAAGTGGATATTTTCTTTTTATTCGCAATGTAGGCCCGGCCTATTCGAAAAGCGGCCTGTGGGCCACATGAGGCCCAGAAGCAACCTCCGAGTGGCCCAGCTCATGGTCCCACCAGAAACTAGAGGTGCACCGAACCCACTTTTTCAGTGCCGATACAATCCTAATACCCGGTATCTGATACTGGTCAACATAATATTTCAAGATTTGCAAGCATGTTTATTAGTTTGCAAGCTGCATTTGCTATCTTCACACACTTATCTGATGTTCTTACACTCCTCCTACTGCGAGGGTTATGCACAACAGCACAGCAGGCAGAAGTCACTGTGCTCACACCCACTGAGCACCAAAAAAAATGAATGTAACTCTACACATGTAAAATGGGAAAGAGCCGGCGTGCAATTGATTGTACAAATCCATTTAACAAAAAATATGGGCTATCGTGTTACAGACCACCAAAAACTAAATAAGTAAGTATCGGATGTAGATCGGCCACAGGTTCGTACTATTATCACTTGTTATGGGTTTGTGCACTGATAGTCCTTTTTTATTCTGTTAAATGCAGTTTGTGATGTGCCTGGGTTATATATGACCAAAATATAAAAAATTTTCCAAAGGGAAACAAATGTTATTGCTAATTCTGTGCACTTTTTTGTTTTTATGCACTTTGAGATGTGCCTAGGTCAGGTATGACCATTTTTTTTATTTCAAAAGTGGGAAAAAATAGCATTGCTCAGATTCTGTTGTTATAGCTTTTTTATTGTTTTTACACACATTTTGATGTACCTGTGTCAGATGTGACCAAATTTAAAGGGGAAACAATGAATAAACATTATTTGTTTTTCAATACATTAATTTGTGTTGGTTTAAAATGTCATTACCTGTTGCTTAACGGGCTGCTGAAACATAGCTAAATTTCTTAATTTGAAAATCTGGCCTAACTGAATTTGTAATTTAATAATTGAATAGCCCTGTTATGATATTATCAGAGATAACCAACTTGAAAACGGATTTCTCCATTAAGTTGGATGGCATCCTAGCAGCGGTAGAAAAATTAAGGGAAGACCTAGGTGAATGTGCTGAGCAGGTTCGTCAAACAGAGATTCATATTTCTGCCATAGAAGATACTGTCCCCCCTTACAGGATAAAGTTTAAATTTTGGAAAGTAAAAATATTAAAAATAGAAAATTGGAGGATAAACCGCTGGACTAGATCAAGGCGATCAAATCTGAGCAAATGCATTATGCCAAAAGGGAAATGATGCAGGGAAAGGTTTCATAAGAGTTCCAAGAGTGTTATATGGTCATTATATTTGACACATTACCAAATAATCCCCACTATTCAGGGCTTTTACCTCCGTACCCTCTTTTCCTCTTTCCCCCAGAGAAAGATCCAACTGACTGGCACTTGCAAATTTAGCAAGCGGGTTGACCGAGCTTCACTTCTTTCCTTCGTGCATCACTCTCCTTTGTTTCCATCTCTTAGTTCGTCCTTGAAGGCACCACTGAGCTTCGGCTAGGCTCCTCCCATTTCGTCCCATCCTCTCCTCCTCTCCTTCTACAGCAGCGTTCCAGGAGAGTCCGGCAGTGGTGCCGGAATCCTGGGTTGCAGCAGGCGTAGAGCAGGGGGTTCAGGCAGCTGTTGATGTAGGCCAGACAGGTGGTGTAGGGGTAGGCCGCCACCAGGACCCAGTCAAAGGCACAGGAGTAGGGTAGCAGCTCCAGCTGCATGAGGATGGATAGGGTCTTGTTGGCATGGAAGGGCAGCCAGCAGAGAAAAAAGGCCGACACCAGGGTGACAATGACATGGAGAAGGTGTCGCTGGCGATGGTGGTCGGGCTGTGGGCCGTTGCCAAAATGGTGGGAAAGTAAGCAGCCTAGGGAGCTGTAGCAGAGGATCAGGACAGCCAGCGGCAGCAGGAAACCCAGCAGAGTGGACTTCATTCCCATGGCTGCCACCCACAGCAGCTCCAGGCGTTCTCTCTCCTCAGGCAGCTTGGCAGTGATTAGGCTTGAATAGTCCATCTCGCAGGACTTCAGGGGGTGCGGTGCCTGGCCTTGCCACCACCCGCCATTCCCAGGCCCCGCCTCTTCCTCCACCTCAATCACCGTCCGCAGCAGTAGAGCTGGCAGTGCCAAGATCCCTGCCGCTACCCAAACTCCACCCACAGTCCAAAGCACCCGGCTCCAGCTGTGCTGAGTCCTGAGGCGCCTTGAGATGACCCAGTAGCGCTCCACGCTTAGGCCAGTTAGCGAGAAGACACTAGCGTACATGTTGAGGGCCACCAGGTAGCTGCTCAGCTTGCAGAGCAGCTGCCCGAAAGGCCAGTGATATCCCAGGGCTGTGTAGGTGGCCCAGAGCGGCAGGGTGAGCACGAAAGCCATGTCTGCTGCTGCCAGGCTGGTGATGAGGGCGGTGGTGAGCGAGCAGGAGGAGGCAGAATGCCTGCAGTGGCGGGATGTTCTCTCTGGTACAGACTTGATACAATGCCTCCTGTGGTGGGGCCATTTGATGTAGACCCACAGAACCAGCCCATTCCCCATAGAACCCAAAGTGAAGGCCAGCATGTAGATGGATGGTATGAGAGCCCAAGTAGGACTCCACTCACTATAGTCACATGATCCAAGCAGGGGGGGAGTAGGGGACAAGGTGGGGGGTGACTGGGAGGATTGCAGAATGCCTGACATCAGGGCAGTTGGGCGATAAGTCTCTGTGGTGCCTTGGTTGTCCCAGCGCCCAGTGCTGGTCTCTTTGGATGACTGTTCTCTGAAGGAAATCCCACAATATACTGTTTTCCTCCGTTAGCTAGTTGGTGTATGCCTATTCAATATGTTAAATAAGTATCCAAATGAAGAAAATTCCCACCTCAGTTGGTCTTTGATGCCTGAGTAATTCTCCCTCTCCTTTGAAGGATTCTCATCTCTGAAAAGCAAACAGAGGGATGAAGCTGTTCTCAGGAAACCAGCTGTTCATGAGTCATGGAGTAACGTGCCTGCCTCTCAAGTCTATGAACCATTGAACAATATTCTCTTTCTGCATTAACAGCCTTTTATTTTACATTAATGTGAAACTGAGCTGTAACATCACATTAATGGAAATGTCAAGGGAACATTTGTTCCCAATAAACGATGGAATCTGCTAAGAATGATATAAACCCCTATATCATACAAAGATATTTAAATAAGTATTTATGTATATAGTATAAATGTATATATCACAGACCATGGCCTTCATCAAAAAAAGAGGGATGGAGATGTTTATATGATCTTCCTGTTGTTGAAAAATAATGATATTATGCCTGTTAACGTGTGTCAGCTTAGCCCAGGGGTGGGCAATCTTATCCGCAAAGGGCCGGCATGTATGCGGGTTTTCGCTGCAACTTCCTAATTACATTACTAATTAGAGGACTGATTGGCTATCAGTAATGGTAATATTATTATATTTTGTGATCTTTTTTGTTTCTTATGTTTTTAAAGATAAAATGAGTACCAAATATCCATTCTTCCATACCCAAATAGGAGACAGATACACCTTCATAGTAACAGTGAGGCAGAGTGCTGCAGAGGCCTCGTCTTATGAATAATGATAAATACACTCACTTTGACTCTTGAAATGATGAATCAATCCTCTCTGAGGTAAGCCTTCAATCTTCCTGAGTTTGTGTGCTCTCCAAAGACAAAGTGACTACTTGAGATGGCTCTATCTGACCCTTTCTAATCTGAAACAAATTCCTCCCCCCTGGGTTGTACCCGCCTACCTCTTCCCTGACCTTCCAGGCCACCCCTACTCCAGCCTTCACAGACCCAGATTCATTTTCTCCCCAGGCAGATGCTAATGGCCCAAGATGCAATGAGTATATGTTGAATCATTTGGGAAGAAGATGGCCATAGACCGAGTCAGCAGTTAAGTTGTTAGAAAAATCAAACCTCTTGCCCTTTGATCACATCAAATTAACATCTTAAGAGTTGTGGGCTAATTATTTTGTCAAAGTCATTATATTGAATAAGGGTAAACAACAATGTACTGGATTGAAAAATTAAGTATTTTGTAAAGGTAAACTATTTTGGAAATTTCTAATAAAAAAAATTCTTGATCATTTAATTTTTAAAGCCAATAAACTGTTTGCCTGGAAATTATTTTTTGGTTTTAATTCTGAGCAACTGCTTCTAAACATCAAGACTGCCAAGACCAGTGGTTAACCTTGTATCCAGCTCAACTTCCTTGATTCACTGGGCGAATTGGCTGACATAATATGAAGTATGTATCACTATGTCACACATAAATATCTGGAGCCTGAATGCAAAACATGTGCATCTTTCACGTTGCAGCTTTGTTGTAGCATGTTGTCTTTGCTCTCTACTGCTGACTTCCTCTTAGATGTAATGAGATGCACAAGTAAAAGACAATTACACACTTTTATGGCCAAGTTGTGATTTCAGAGCAAAGAAAGAATTAAAAGCAAGTGGACCAAAGGAAGTGATTGTGAGTGAACTGGGACAGGATTCTGGAATGTAGAGCATTGCTAGTGTAACCAAGGAGCTGCGCTTTATGAGCATTTGTGTAAACAGTGAGAAAATGTTTGTGAATCACTTTCTCTTTCAGGGAGCCTGAATGGACAACTGGAGACAAAAGCTGACCTTTGCCTCTTGCTCTTGTCTGTCTGTCTGTCTGAATGTCTATCTATCTATCTATCTATCTATCTATCTATCTATCTATCTATCTATCTATCTATCTATCTATCATATTCTCAAAAAATGCACTAAATCATTGAGAACAATTACAGTCCCACTTTGATCAACTTCCCCATATATGTGCTACATTGAGTGACGTTAAGGACAACTATCAAGAACTATCATGGCCTGGGAGTTCATACCTGTAGGCTAGCATCTCAGAGCAGAAAAAAAAACATCGGGGACCTTCAGCGAAACTCAGAAGCTAAAAGTTCAAAGAATACAGACGTTCAACAACGTAACGCCACCCTTAAACTGCAAGCCACAATGTGGCGATCAGGGCATGTCCTATTTATTCTAAAACGTAGCCTAAAAGTGTTTCTCCTTAACCACAGTTAGAGGTAATAAAATACTCTAAGTGCGTGATGTGATGACAATTTGATTGGACTAATGACAAATGTCTAATGACAAATTGCATCATTCCCAGCATGTAAGGACAGTCCCATTGAGATGCTTTGCTCTGCATTCACTAATACTTCCTTCCTGCTTCAAACCATCAATTGATCCTATTTCATTCAGCATTTAAAATGAAGAATACACAATGCGTAGTGCTTCTCCCAGCTGTTTTTGTCCTCCCTGTTCTCATGGATAGACTCTCAGCTGTCTAAACATGGTGGAGTTTATTGGGTACATGAAGCTCAGCTGAGAGCAGGGTTGACAATGTGCTCGAAGGGTACAGTGGAGATCCAGAGCAGAAAAGGTGAACAGCGCCTCCTCAAAGACAAACTCCTCTCAGTCAACAAAGTAACAGAGGTTGTGTGAAGGACAAACGTAAACACCTTTTACATGAGTGTAACTGAACTGTCTACACATGCCATGCCAGATTCCACTGGTCAACAAAGATTTTGTCACAGAACAACTAAGTGGTATCTGTTACATGTCTTTTAATGCTAGTTTTATTAATGAATTTTGCTATTGCAAACCATATTTGGTGACATAATATTTAGGCATTATCGATAGTATATAATTCCTTACTAAGAATGTATGGCTATGTAAAATGATTTTATTTCTATTTGTGAACATTTTTAAGACTTCACAGAATGGCGCAAAGTACAGTAAATCGGTTTTGCCCCAGAGTTTACAGGCTGTGACATGTTTGGATATGATGTGACAAGATCCTGCTGTCTCTCAAAACCCAGCTCCCTGCCAGCTGGCGATCAGTTGCTGGACCCTTAAGAGATATGTTTTTGAGGCTAAGTACAGCAGAAAGTCATTCATTTCTACCTTTTACAAAGTAAAAAATCCAAATGAGAGGTATATTACAGTAAAATGTTGTGCAACTGCCAAGCCATAGTCATGGAATAATATTCATTCTATCTCATCACAGTGTATCCCTTAAAAGGAAATATTTTTGTCAATGAAATGTGGACAATATATCTAAGCATTTTGACTCTCATGGTTATAATGATGCTTAAGGTACTTTCCATTTTAGTGGCACTGATAGACTATAATTAATTGATAGAATTATTTGCTTTGAGACATGAGTTAATTAGTTGTTTTGGGTGAGATGTGGCGTTTTGCCACTTAACCATTATGTTTTGCTATTTGCATGAACTGTTATGAGAAATGAGCTTGTAGTCCTGATAATGTTAAGCATGTCGAGAAAAAACGGTAACAAATTTGGCCATCTTCAGAAATAAACCAGAATGCCCAAACCCCGGGGAATATATTTCAAAATAACACAGATAAATGCTTAAAATATTTGTTTAATAATGACAAGATTTTTATGAGCATAAAACGAAAACCTCGATATGCATCGAGTAATCCATTTTCTGCTGTACCCACACGGCCTGTGTTCGGTGTTTGGCAGTAATAAGAGAGCTGGTGCCTGACAGACTTCGTGGATTATATAAGAACATGGACATTCGTCCAGGAATAAACAAGCCTTGTGGAGGAAAAAATGCAATTTAAAGAGCACAGGTACCGTACCGACTTTGCAGCCTGTATAGCTTATCTACATGCTAAGAAATATCATTTCTTTTGTGGCTGGAAAAAATACTGACAAAGTTACCGTTTATATAGCGTTTTAAATAATATAGGGTATAATGTTTGAGCAGCTGTGTTTTTTCATTCGATACACAAACCTTTCGGCGGTGCGTTCTGTGCCGTGAATCTGGCAATTTGTAATTTAAAAAAAGCATTTCATTTGTCACTGTCATTAGAGAGAGAAACGGAGAATAGAGGACGAGAGAACGGGAAATTGAATAGGATAAAGAAACTATGCTTTTACTGTATTGCTCGTATGTACGATGGCAATGAGGATTATTCCGTTTAAATCCACACTAATTTGATAAGAAACTATTAATGTGCCAAATAAGAGAACGACTTTCGCCCTTCTCAAGATCCAAAGCCACCAGAAAGGGAATCCGGTACGTGGCTGTATATGCGTGCTCTTTATTGCTTGGGCACCCGATCGTTTTGCACTGCGACTTTGATCAGATATAACCTTCGTACCGGAAAGAAGACAGGTTTATTCCTGCAGTTTTTGCTATCTTTGAGACGTTTGCACGTTTAACGAGAAATAAAAAGGTAGAATCGCTGCCGCGGCCTGTTTGCGCTCTTTGCGGAAAGCTGACTCCCTATCGGCCATCACGCTACCTGCCGCCCGGTAAAGATATACGGCGTTGTCTTCCCAGGGATTGTGGGTGTGAGAAGAAACCCCATTCCCCAATTATTCCCGTTATACTGCTATAACATTTGCACATTTTAGAACGAGGTAGTTCCAGTGATTGCAGGGAACAGTGTTTATCGGTGTTGGGGTTTCGGGGAAATTTTACAGATTTCCTGTAATGCGAGCTGCGAGTTTTCAAACGATGCAATGCACATTTTGGGGCAGGTAACTCTGATAAAAGTGCCATATGTACATAACTGTCATCTCCCTGCATAAAACACGTTTTGCGTGGAAAAATGCAGCCTGTATGACTGGCAAGATTTTCCGCACAAACAGGCTCATACAGATACCGTTCCCCCCCAGAACGTAACCAAAGGAGCGGCAGGATGCTGGCCAGGAAAGGCTTGCTCCCTGATGGCTTCTTCTTGACCCGGCTGACAGAGGGTGCCACCGAGACCAATCGGTTCCGATCCAAGGCCCAAAGAGCCCGTTTTATCACAAAGACTGGGTCCTGCAATGTGGCCCACAAGAACATCATGGAGCAGGTTGGATGTCAGCCTCTCAGTCACAATCAGTAAATGTAAAATAACAACCAGTATTATTCTAGATTATTGCCACATGGTATGGTATCTACATTCTTCAGAATATGAATTGTCAGTAAATCACATCTGCAGCTCTGCGTTTTTGTGTAATTGTCTTCCCACATGCTGTGTATTTTGTCATTTTTGTCTGCTTCTATCCATTTAACGATATCAAGCAGAGTATATGAAAATCCTTTCCCGGGTAGCACAGGGAATGACATAGGGTGCATCCTGAAGGGGATGTTAGCTCATCACACAGCACGCTTACTTACACAAACTAGTGACAGTTTGGAGACACCAGCCCCCCTAAAGCGCACATCTTTGGACTTGATGGAGGAAACTCGTGCGGACAGGCAGGGCATATACACTTAAAACACAAGAAATTGGGATGCGGTGGAGACAACAGTGGTCCTCATCCTCAATATATAATCTGGATTCGCCCGACCCCCATAAATAGAACTTTGTATAGTTGCCCAGATTTGTAATTAAGTTGTCCCCCCCCTCCCCCCCATATATATATAAACTGACTGGTCTTCATGACTTGCTGGCACTGCTGGGAAGTTTGGACTCCTGTCAGCAGTCAGTGACCCTCCACCTTATGCTTCCAGGGTAGATTCCTGCAGGATGTCTTCACCACCATGGTGGACCTGAAGTGGCAGCACTCCTTGCTTATCTTCACCTCAGCTTTTATCTGCTCCTGGATGCTCTTTGCCATGGCCTGGTGGCTGCTGGCCTTTGCCCATGGGGACCTGGAGCTCCATGACCCAGAGAGCGGACCTGCGCCCGTGCCCTGTGTCACTGCTATCCAGTCCTTCACCTCCGCGTTCCTCTTTTCCATCGAGGTCCAGGTGGGGGCTCTTTTTTTTGCCTCTGATTGACTCATCCTGAATAGATTCTTCTATGATGTTTACACACCTGAGAGTTTTCATTTCACTGGAATAGTTATATTCCACTTCAATGCCCTTGTATTCACACTGCTGCAGGGGATAGCGGCAGTGCTACCAGCTTACCACTAGAGGGCTCCTCAGCAATATTTTGTGATGAGCATTGCAGTTTATGTTCCGGACTGTGTCACTTGACTTTCAGGTGACAATTGGGTTTGGGGGTCGGATGGTGACGGAGGAGTGCCCTGTGGCCATCACGATACTCATTATCCAGAACATCCTGGGCCTGATCATCAATGCTGTCATGTTGGGCTGCATCTTCATGAAGACGGCACAGGCAAACCGCCGCGCCGAGACCCTCATCTTCTCCCGCAATGCTGTCATTGCCCCCCGCAACGGCCGGCCCGCCTTAATGTTCCGTGTGGGAGACCTGAGGAAGAGTATGATTATCTCTGCCACCATTCAGCTGCAGGTGAGAGAAGAGCAAGTAATTTAGCCAAGGCCACCCAGGCATGATCGTGAGCCCTGAACACTTCTCATGGCTCAACAAACATTAGTAATGAGCAGCCGCAATGGACCCCTGTACTTCCCACTTTGTATTACTGGTGACTTCACATTTGATATGAAATTAAATTAATTAATCTGCACTTACAGTATCAATCAAAAGTTTGGACACACGAAGTTGCCTACAATGGCGAGTGATAATGTTGCATCACATGACTGGACACCTGACCTAAACACAGTAGATATGGTTTTGGAGGAGCTTGACTAGAGAGTGAAAGAAACGTGCCAATGAGTTCTCAGCATATATGTGGTCCTTTGGGGCAGCTGGAAAGGCATCTTAGGAGCAATTGGGGTTAAGGGTCTTGCTCAAGGGCCCGATGGTGGAATCACTCTGCTGACCATGGAATTTGAATCGGCAACCTTCTGAGTCTCAGCCCATAAAGCTGACCTCCAATTTTTTTTTTTTTTGTTAATACTTTTTTTCATCAGTGCATCTTTACAATTATGTTACATTGTAGTTGTGATGTCTTTATCATAATTCTAAAATGTGGAGAATAGTACAAATAAACCTTTGTATAGGTGGGTGTGTCCAAACTTTTGACTGGTACTGTACCTCCAGAAATATGAACAGGTGAATAAATTCTGCAGATGCATTTTCCTGCCTACTGCTGGCTGCACAGAGATTTTGAGTAAAAATGAGTACGGATTTTGTCATTTAATGTATCAGTCATTAAATTTTGATATGTTCTTTTTTCTGATATTGAAAAGTCATTTAGGAAATAACGTCTTGCTGCTGGCGTTAATAGAACTATTGTACAATGGCCTAGATCAATAAGAAAATAGTATACTTCTACAGATTTGTGGATAGAAATCCAGGACTGTATGGTTAAAGCAAATCTGTTAAATGACTGAACAGCAGTGCTGTCTGCCACCTCCAAAATCAAAAGCAAAATAACAAGGAAAAGAGATGTGAATGAGCACCTCTGTGTATGCTGCTGTAATAGAACAAAGCAAGACAGATTATTGTCCAGTGAAATGATTTAATCTTGTGGGATAAAATTAAACTTACTGAACCCTACTAAACTTACTGAATAGCTTTGGAGGCGAAATGGGTTTCATGTACATCATAAGGAATTAAAACACAGTTAAACACTGTGAAAGACGTATTGGGAATCTAAATCCAGCACCAGCAGTGCCTCAACCGAACTTAATAATCCATCTGCCTTGCAGCTGTGTGGCTGTTAGCCTGGCAGCTGGCTGGGTGATTCTCATCAAACCATCAACCGCAACCCAAAAATATTCATATAAAAATGATTAATACAAAATATAAAGTAAAAATACACAAAACAAATTAACCTGCACTTTACCTTTGAAAAGAATCGTGGATGGTGTGAGAGAGTGGGGAAGAGGAGGGTTATTTTGTAGGACGACTTTCACTATATCACTGCTATCTGTTGGCTCACTGGAATCTCTTTCTTTTTGTGCAACTTTAACAAGGAACCTATCCAATGACAGCTGCTTTTGCCTCCTTTTCAATTTCACGTAAATATGAACATTGCATTGTTAAACAGATTCATCGCTCGCACTGTTATGCTCTTATTCGGGTGGTGTTTTTCTACTAAATTTTGACTATACGAGTGAGGAACGCCGGCCTAGATCGAGCATGGGAAACGATTACCCCGACTGCATATCAAGTTTCAGTGAAATAAGAACAATATTCGGTAGTAGATTCCAGAAGGTGTTGCGGTAATGACAGAAATTAGTCAAAATCAAATAAAAAATGTTAAAGTATACATTATTTCAGAGCATGCCTGTTATTTTACCCTTACAAACACTTCACACCTGGTTATTAATAGCTGAATAAATTGTGGATGCAAGTCTTTTTAAATACTTCATGTTTGAAATCTTTGTAATGAAGCTTTCGTGAGAATCACCCGGCTGCCCTGGAGAGTTACCTCTTGGTCTCTGACAGTATAATTCGGGTGGGGGTGAGTCTGATTGAATCACATGCTTATGTGAACCATATTGCACCTTCTTTCTATAACCCTTCAGAAATGTGTTTGGGTTGATTAGGTAAATCTAAGTTGGTGGCATCAGGTCTAGTAAGTTGACCATTGGATTTGATCCTTCAGATAATGGCTCAAGACCTGTCTCTTCTGGGAAGGATCTCAGCTAATTCATCCTACCACTGATCTGCTCTCTGCCTTGTTTATGGTGTCTTGACAATACTGGATGCTCTTTTCCTTATGTTTTTCAATTTCTTGGTAGAACCCTAGTTCTTATTTGACTGGCTTTTCTGATGTAGCGTTTGTTCCCTTGCTAACTTGCACTTGTTCTTGATCACTCATTAGTCTAGTGGCACTGGTACCTATCTGAAAGCCTGTTTGTACCGCTCTTGCCTCGTCTGGCAGGTGATCCGCAAGACAATGACGGCCGAGGGGGAGGTGATCCCAGTGTGTCAGCTAGACATCCAGGTGGAGAACCCCCTTCGCAGTAATGGCATTTTCCTGGTCTCGCCTCTCATCATCAGCCATACCATTGAGCGCGACAGTCCCCTCTACGATCTATCTGCCCAGTCACTGCCCAATGAGAACTTGGAGGTCATTGTCATCCTGGAGGGTAAGCTGATGGGAGCCCTGCATTGTGCCCTGTGTACGTGAAAAGCTCGCCACGAGCACGCTGTACTAGCTGCCTGCGGGGCTTCAGCAATGTTCTGAGTTGTTTGGGTATCATCCCACAGGACTTTACAGAGCTTGACAAACCCAACAGCAAAGGCATTGACATCTTATTATCCTCACATGCAATCCATGTCTGAATTCTCTTAACCCATAACGATCCTTATTTAACCTGTCTCCTTCCCTGCATTTATACTGATTAATGTGTATTAGGTAAATCCATTATGGTGTTGTAAATCAGATGGAAACAAGGCATGTCATACTGTAGTGCACAAAGGTGTGAATGAGAGGACAGGTTTCCATGCCCATTTTAACACCATAAACCTCTCTGTGCCAGGCAAATATCAACTTCTCAGTACACGTCAGGTACCCAACTATATAGGAAAAGTGACACGGAAACCTGGCTTCTCATTCACACCTTAGTGCACTACAGTATGACATGCCTTGTTTCCATCTGATTTTTAAAGCATTAAGTCAGTCTGGGCCAGGACAATGTCACCTTTTCTATATAGTGGGGTACCTGACGTGTACTGAGAAGTTGATATTTGCCTGGCACAGAGAGGTTTATGGTGTTAAAACGGTACAGGCACAATCGCGTCATTGCATTGGGCTGCAAAGCATATATACAATCCTTATGAAAACTTATGCGATCCCAGAACACTTACCCACTTCTTACTTGCTGCAACGTGTCGGCAAGGATAAACCGAAATAATACAGACGTGTCCTGTAAAGTCTGCTTTAAGCATTAAAATATGGGGGACAATGCACGCCATGTAACTTTCATATTATGTGCTTTTATACGTATTTATAAATATTTGCACTGTGTCCGCCGTTCACTTTAAGCAAAACAGCTGGCCTATTGAACATGAAGTGCACACACAAGCATTGAAAGGGAGATACCTGACAGTGGGTTTGGATTTAAACTGTAGCTATGATACTGCAGTAAAGTTAGCTTTATATTCAGTTTTCTGGCTGCAATATCTGGCTGGAACACCCATTGATTTTCCAGATTTCTTTATGGTCAAAGTCTAATATTTCAATGTTTGTTCAGTTCATTCATGTTCAATAGCCCAGCTGTTTCGCTTACAGTCATTGACGGTGAATAGACACAGTGTAGTTATTAATAAATATATATAAAAAGTAGTGCTGTCAAACGATTAAAATTTTTAATCACGATTAAATATCATTCATTTTTAATCTATATTAATCACATTTCATTTTGCATGAGCAAACAGACTCAAGAAAAAAGGGAATATATATGCACTTAACATGTTTATTGAACATCTTGAACATGAGTCAGATGCATTATATCTGCCACAGAAGTGCAATACCATGGACCCATATCAAAAAGCAAGATTTTTTGCTTAGCCGGACAACTTGTCATATTTAAGGTACCTCAGTTTAAATGGTCTTTATCTTCATTCGCTTACAATTAGCCCGAACTACCGTAAATCCGACAAATAATCCAACTAATCATGAAATCCAATTCTAGCCCGTTTAATTACCCATTACGCGCGGTGCTTTACATATAAAACTCGGTAGCAACAGGTCCACAGATTAGTTAGACGGTATAGTGTGTGCGACCGATTTAATGAGCCACAAAGGAGAAGTTGTGCTTAAACAGTATAAAACTACAACTTTCCCTTCTGCTGATAAAAGACACAGCCATCTTGGATTCTGAATTCAGGATCCTCTGTGCTTCTCCGAGATATTTCTCGGATCTCCGAGAAACGGGCATGTCGTCAAAACTCGGAATCCGACTCGAAATACAAGTTCCCAGGGCAAATAGAATGCACCAAAACTGCCCGAAATGGGTTTCCAAAGACATTTCAGGGATTTTGAGTCATTCTGCCCTGCAGATGGGTTAATTGCGTTAAAAATTTAAATCAGATTAATTATGATGATGGATTAATCCGTGTTAACCCATACTTTTGACAGTCCTAATAAAAACACATGAAAGTTACATGGTGTGCATCCTCCACTATAGTTTAAGGCTTAAAACACACTTAACTGGACATGTTTGTATCGTTTAGGGAACGTGGAACTATTTAAAAAAATATTTTCCCACCCGGACCTCTTAGGGGCGTCGTACTCAAGATTAAATGGGTGAAGTTCTTTTTAATAATGCATTGAAAAGTCGTTTAGGTAGTAATGTTTTGCAGTTGGCGTTAACAGAACTATTGCATCTATTTGGAATATTAACTTAATTATGCTTTCAATTCTGTTGGTCGCCCAGACTTGTCAAATATCAGGCATTTTTGTTTACTCCTCCGGCACTCAGGAGGAGATTAAGGGCCCAGTGTTCTTCCTTGATTGGCAGGGGTGGTGGAGACAACAGGCATCACCATGCAGGCCCGTACATCCTACACCCCGGAGGAGATCCTGTGGGGCCGGCGCTTCGTGTCCATCATAACAGAAGAGGATGGCCGCTACTCTGTAGATTACTCCAAGTTCGGGAACACGATTCCTGTCCGGATGTCTTCCCTCAGTGCCAAGGAGCTGGACCAGACCCGGGGAGTGCAGGGAGGGGGCACGTCCGGGGCCCAGCTTCAGGGCTGGGGACTGGTCCGGGCCGGCAGGGGTGGCTACCGGAGAGGGGGCAGGGCCCGTGAAAGCACCGCCTCCCAGCCCTGGTACAGCCATGTGGAGGACGGAGAGGAGAAAGACAGCATGGCGGGAAGGGAGGTAAAGAAACAGATCCCACTGGAAGAGATCAGCGGGGGGACTGAAATGGAGGGAGACTGAGCAAAGAAGGAGAAAGAAAATAAAAAAGGGGGGGAAACAAATGGACATACACCAGAAAGAGTGCTGTTCCTTTTCTGAGCAGTTTTTTCCAGTGAGTTTTTATGTTTCCGATGTTGTCAGTATAATGTGTTATGCCATATAAAGCAGCGTAATATTGCGAGGCCCAGCCTGTTTTGTGGGAAATATTATCACATACAGGAAATCTAGGAAAAGTGATGTCATGGAACTCCATGTGCCCCCTGAATAAGTGATCAAACATGTAGGTATGCGCTGCCATTTTATAATGGGCTGGAGTTGCACATTTCTCGTTAGAAATCTTATTGTCTGTTGTGCAATTGTTCATTTTCCATCTATTTGCTTCATCAACAGCCATAAATATGGCATCAAATGGCTGGATTGTCTCCCTAAAAAGGTCATGGCTTGTTGGAAAGTCAGAGTAACTATTTCCAGAGGTTTCCCCCCTAATTATGCAATCTAAGGCAGAGATTTAGAAAACAAATCTTTCTTAATCTGCCTTAAGGGTTCTGAGACATCTGGCAATAACTGTTTCTGTGAATTTGTTCTTAACAGAATCTTTTATTGTACAGGTTACAATGACGGTACAAAGTAGCTGTACAATGTATTATTACATTGTTACTCATTTGGCACATTATAAAAATAAATGTGTGATGTTGAAAATCGGTTGAGAAATTGCCAGTATTCATTAGCAATACCGTTAGTTTTTCTGTAATTATAAAAGCCACACAAATCCCTGGTTATGTACTGTATGCAGATAATGTATCAACATAACCTGTCAACAGCACCGTTAATTTCACTTGATTTCAAATACTGTCAGTGTAAACTTGTGTACAATTCAGCAATATTTCAAACTAGCATTTTCTTGCCCTGGACTTGCTGACACATTTTCAACCATAAAAATACACAGTTATGCTAGAGCTCTAAGTCAGGGTTCCCGCGGATCCTTAAAAAGTCTTATTTTAGAATTGCCAAAGTTAAGGTCATAAAATTTCTTTAAAAGTATTATTTTTTCTGGCATGTAGTCTTAAATTAAACCCCATCACATATGGTTTAATATTTAATAAAATCATGAATGTTTATGGAATCATGTGACCTTCGAGCTTGCATGCCTTGTTTATTATTGCTATGATAACCGTACAAGTTCTGGCTTGCGTAGCACATAGATATCAAAACACTGCGCTCTGCCGATCTAGGATATTTTGATATCTATGATTGGTAAAGGTGTCAACGCTCTAGTAATGGCGTACTAAGATGATCTTTTACTGGCTGAATGGAGTCTTCGAAAAAGAGGTGGAGATGGCATGTCAAACGGGTCTTTGGAGCAGCCCCTGCTGAGGACTCCTAGGCGCTGGCACGCGGCTCCCACTGGCTGCGATTGTGTAATGATTTGTCCAGTGCGTGCGCGCTGCGTGCAGCACAGTGGCAGCATTGAGATCCACCCCACTCATTCGGGCTCGTCATAGCTTTCACTGCAGTGCTGTCGTGCCATGCAGCCTTTCCCAGCCTTTGTGCGCTATGCGTGATGGACAATGCAGAATACGGAGCTTTCACGCCAACGGAGACGCCACTGTTTGTCCTCGGGAATAAATCAGATCAACACGGTGCCTGGATCTTTAATCGCTGCTTGATTCTGAGAGGTTCACTGGTGCGAGTGAGAACTAAGTGCGATCCGACAGTTTGCCACGAGCATCCCCATTCAGTAGTAACACAGCGATCATGGTCATATTTCAAATGAATACAGTGACTTCATTTACAGACGCACATGAGCATCCTGCAATGATACAGCATAAACAAGCAGCTTGCTAACAGTTCAGCCTGGGAGTTGTCACAAACCAAATGAAGACCCCTGCAATCAAACTTTAAAGATATTAACATGTTTAAATCCATTTATACACACTGCGAAAAGGAACACCTACATTTTATATATGTACCTAGGAGTGGGTCATAATTACAATGACAAGTACTTAAAAAGAAATATACACCAATGAGCCAAAACATTATGACCACCCCCATGTGAAGCA